CTTAAACTGGGAGTGCACAAATGATGCGACCGTGTCAGTTTGATTATACAACCAGGGTGGTTGGACATATAAGCCGCGTCAGAATTACTGGTTAGGGGCCACGGGATCAGTTAAATCGTTGGTTGGGGGTAATGCTTAGTGTGACTGAGGGTCGCATGACAACCATGAATTTGGTTAGCTTTTTTAATAATTCAGTGAAAACTCATTCTGCATCTTCTCTCTGGTGCTACTAACTAACTTATAATTTTTCCACCTACCGTTTCATCAAAACGGGCTGTATGAAATTAGAATAATCCCTAATGATTTTAAGAACTGGATTAGGTTATTTATATTGTTCACTACTGAATATGAAAGTTCCATCACATCATACACCAGGCAATAAGTACACTAAAGGGAGACGGGACATATAATGAATGAATGAATTTCTCTCACTTTGAACCCCGTTGGACACCAGTCAACCCACGGTAGTTTTCCCGTTTTCTTCAGTTTATCAATTGCACTATTCACCTCGCGGGCGCATACAGCCCCGCGATACAACAGGCAGCAGGACAAATACACGAAAGGATATTCAGCGTAGCAAGTGAGAAATTGCTCCCCCGGATCAAATGCCATCTCGGTGAGTTCGGCGCAGGAAGCAGCTATTGAAAGGCACAAAAATATTTCATGGCCTGATACGAACTCAACAAACATGGAATCAACAAGAAACCAAGTGGGGTACACCAGGTATGAATGAAAGGGAATGTGAACCTGTGGTACGGTGAATGACATTTCATCAGAGCATACAAACTGATTACAAGCTTTCCAGTAGTTAAGATATAAACATCATTGAATTTTACTATCGAACATAAGAAGAATGGATAGGTACTTGGGTGACGCACGCTGAACGCATTATCCACAGTATAAGCTACCCGTTACAAGATATCGCATCAGCTAAGGGAGAAATACAAGCATACGACAATCTACGGCGTGCAAATAATGCCAGTTAGTAGGAAAAGATTCGAAACTATGTGAAGAGTTTCAAATGCTATCGGACATGTCCGTTACGGATACAGATCACTTTAGTCCCAAATTCTTCCCTTTCGTACTAACGGATTCGGTTATATACAGTGACCATTGTTTTCTTCTTATTTAACCCTGTGGTATAATCTCGCACTGCCTATACGAGACATTTCAACTAGCTATATATCGATCTTTATTACCGTGCTATAGGGCTTCTTCATTCTTCATTTTATTCTTGTTCATAGCTTTTTAAATGTGTCAATTTCTTCACTGAAACGATGACGTTGACCTTTCTCTTTTTTGACCTATTTAAAAACTTGTTTGTCTTCAACGATAGACTTAGCTCGACCCCTTTTAAATCACTAAGAAGGCTCAAA